GCCTTTCCCTGCTGACAGTGCTGTGATTCAGCTGGTTGCTTTGAATTCAGGAGGGCATGCAAGCTGCACCCCACTCAAGCTCAATGGTGTCATCTTGTGATGAGGACACCGCTGAGGGATCCTGGGGGCCCCCCTTCCAATCGGGAGCAGGCCGTCCCTCTTGCACATTCGGTCTCATCTCCTCCACTGTGTGCCCTCACTCCCCACTTCCTCCCTGCATTGCCTGCATCCACTCCCCCTTCCTGGCCCTCTGAGCTCTGTCCTTGGGTCCGTGCTGCCCTTCTGGTATCCCCAGGGGTGCGGACCGCGGATCTCCTTCGTGTTTATGTTCCCCTTTCGACCTGTCTACTGTTGGCCTGAGAATGCAGTCGGGGTATAGGGCTGGGGGCTGGGGGGGGGGGCTCACTTTCAGACTGAAGGGTGAGAAGGGCGGTGGACGGGCCTCCTCCAGGCTCTGTCTAACTGTTCAGCCTGGCATGTCTCGTGGTTCTGAATGTGTTCTACCCTTTTCACCCTCTCTGTTCAGGACCTCACTAGTGGTGGCTGGCACCCTCTAGTTCTTCCAGGCTCAGCCTCACGGAGTCTGGCACTGGGGTGACCCAGAGTCCACTGGGCAAACTGTCTTTCCATTCTCATCACTCTTCCTTCCTTCGGCGGGAGAGGCCAATCGTTGCCGCTGGACTTCCTGGAAGCAAAGGCAGGCTTCATCATCCCTGGGTGAGTAGTGACATGGGTCTTCCAAGTCTGTGAGCATCTGTGACGATGCAGCTGCCCCAGACTCTCCTACTGAGTCAGTTTGCTTGTTGCTCATAGCTTTGCTCTTGCCCTAAACTCCACGAACTAGCTCTCCACCGAGTTAGTTGCAGAGCATCCTGACGTGCCTCCCTGCTGTCTCTCTGTAGTCCCAGTGTGCGCAGTATGCGGCTGACAGGCGGGAGGAGGAGAAGATGTGTGACCACCTGATCAGTGCCGCCAAGCATCGAGACCACGTCACTGCCAACCAGCTGAAGCAGAAGATCCTGAACATCCTGACCAACAAGCACGGGGCCTGGGGAGCCATGGCACACAGGTGAGTGGCAGCCCACAGAGGCATCTAGCCACCAGGTGCACAGGATGGAGAAGGGGTGCTCAGGACCGGGAGGTGGGCAGGAACTTGGAAAGGGACCTGCAGAGAGCATTCACTGCTTAGGTCTTTCTGCAGGAAATTTCACGGGCTCGAGAGTGGCTGAGAAGCCAAGCTCGACTTCTCAAGGCGCTCCAGTGGAAGTCACTTTGAGTTTAGGGTCTTGACTGACTCCCTGCGTGATCAGTCTTGAGCCA